AAAAAAAAAAAAAAAAAGTTGAGAATTTAGAGGGTTAAAATGTTGTGGGGTTGTTAACCAATATCATAAAACAGCACGTGTGTTACTGTTACATGAGAAACTATCTGTTCTGTAAGCCTTCACCTGAAGTACAATAAAACATTAAAAAAAAAAAAAAAGTTCCACATGAGAAAACAGAAAACAAAAAAAAAGTTTAAGATGGCTTCTATACACAATTGGTAGTTGAGATTATACTACAGTCTGCACTGGCTTGTTAACCTTCTGTATTAAAGAATTCCTTAAATAGGATTATATGGGATGTTGAGGGCGGGCACAGAGCTTTGAACCCTACAAGCACCCAAAAGGTGGCATTCATCAGAAAAAAACACATTTTGTTAACTCTAGGGTGGTTGCTTACACAGAGTTTAGTTAAATCTAGATTTGATAAATCTAGATTCTTACTCTGACCCTACCAACGCCTTAGCTGTGACCAAGACTTTTTATTCAAGTTCTACTTCAATGTGCTAGTTGTATCTATCATCACACACACTGTTCCTATTACACAGCTAGGAAGGAATGCAAACTGAGTCTCTCTTTTTTCAAACTATGTCCCTTCAACTCATCTGTATTCACTACTTCAAGCAGTCTTCCTTTCTGTGGCTGTAATAGTTTTACTTCATTCATTTGCTCATATAATAAATACTTGTTTGTGACATGCCATGGACTGTGCTAGGTGCTAAGAATGCCACGGGGAACAAGGCAGACACAGTCTCTGCCCTCCATGTGCTTACAATGCAGTCAGCATGCTAAAAAGCAGTCAGGTGCACTGGCTTGAAAACTGCTCTGATAGAGTAAAAGAATAATGAGTGTCCTAGAAGCACACAGAAAAGGCACATTCCCCAGACTTGGGGGTGATCAGGGAAGCCAGGCTCTCTGGGAAGAGTAGGCACAGGTGAGAAGAAGTAGCATAAGGAACATTTTCTAGCCTTTTATGGTACAAAAGATCAGTGAGGTTTAGGGGAATGGTAGTAAAAACAGTGATGAGAAGCAAGGCTGGCAAAGGTAGCAGAGATCAGATTATAGTAAGGAGTGTGGACTTGACCCTGAAAAGTAGGAAGCCACTGATGGATTTAAGCAGAGGAGTGATGTGATCTGGTTTTGCATTTTAGAAAATTTCCTTTTAGAGAGTAGAAATGGAACTGGATAGGGACTATACTATGACTGTTGCAGTTTCCTGGGTGAGAAATGACCGTGGCTGAGCTAGAAAAGGGACAAAATAGGGAATACTCTGTGTGTGTGTGTATGAGTGTGTGTGAACGGAGGTTAGTAATGTTGGGAATCAGACAAACAAAAGAACACAAGTAGCAAAAAAAATGATGCCTAGATTTCTGATTTAGGCAAGTGAATGAGTTCCAGTGCCACTTGGTGTGCTAATGAACAAAACAGAAGGAACAGGCTAAGGGGTGGGTGCTTAGGATATGATAACAATGTGCCTTTGAGATGTTCACAGGCAGTTAGACGTACTGTTCTAAAGGTCAGAACAGACAGAGGTCTAGAGTAGAAATACAGATCTGCTAAGTTCCCAGCAGTAGGTGGGACGGTAAAGGTAGTCCAGAGGAGTGAAGGGGGCCTAGAACAGAACCCTGATGAACACCAGTAATTAAGGGACAGGCAGAGGAAGAGAAGCCCACAAAGAAAAATGATATTGGCTAGAAAGAAAGAAAACCCGAAGATGTGATGCCACAGACGTCACAGGAAGGGCATTTTGAGCAAGAAGTGCTTCATAATGCCCAGAGAAGAGGTTATATAAGAAGGGGGACTAAGAAGGGCCTATGAAATCAGTGATAAGATAAGCATAGACGACCTCAGCAAGGGGAGCCTCAAAGGAGTGACAGGGCTAAAACCAATGTAGCAAGCTGAAGAACAGCGGAAGGTACAGTTAAGAGTAGACAAATTTCAAGAAGTTTGGTTATGTAGGAAAGGAGATAAAATGGTACTGAGAGAAGATGGGTTTAAGGGAAGGGGATATATATATATGTATGTATAGCTTTTAAAGAGGGGATGGATATGGCCATATTTAAACACTGAGGGTAGAAAAAATGGCAGAGAACAGCCGTAGGTTTGATGGCAGAGAGCTGAGGTAATCTTGATCTGCGACAAATACGGCAAGGTCATCTGCAGAGCACAGGTGTAGGAAGGGTAGCAGGGTTGGGATTTAGAAAAGTAAAGTAGCCACTGTGAAGAAGAGTGCTGCCTAAGGAAATGGAGGAACCACTGGGTAGCACTGAGAGCCAGGATGAGGTTGCAGATTACAAAATGAACATGATCCTTAACTCTGCAACTACGTGATTTTCTCCAGCTATGCTTAGCAGTTGGATACAGGCTCAAAGGATACATTCAGGGGTCAGACTGCCAGGTGGGTACAACAGAAGCCCAAGTATATAAGGGAGATGAGGATGTTGCCAAGGAAGAGTTGGGCCTATATGCTAGCTAGGGAAGCTAGAAGGAGACTGACAAAGGACTGGGTGATAGGTCTTAATGAGGCAGAAGAATAGGCATAGTGGAAGTAACGGATTGAGAGTATAGAGAAGCCCCCAATGGAAAGGTAGAAAGCATTAGGAGAAGTAGGGGGAAAACCAATGGTGTTAAAAGAATTATAAGAAGAGAGAGCCTAAACAAGACATCTGGACCGTCCAAAACTATAAAAGTCACAGAAATGTAAGTAAGATGAGAAATAAGACATTGTACTTCCACCCTCTTGACCACCTACAAAATACAAGCCTTTGGAATCATCCATTTTCTCCAGTTTTATGCCCCACACTGTTATCTCCTTTGCTCCAGCCTCCCACT